CCAACTCCCCCCCCCCCCCCCGACCGCCTCAACAGGGCACCACGGAAAACATGGGAGACGACGCGGGCGAGATGGGCGACGACCTTCCGGCGGTGTCTCTCGACGGCACTGTGTCCGCTGTGGCGGCCGGCTGCGACCACACCTGCGCGCTCATGGACGACGGCACCGTCATGTGCTGGTGAGCCGTCTTCCTCCCCTCCGCCCGCTCGGTCTCTCCCTCCCGCATCTCTTGTTTCCGCTATTGACGACCGAAAACTAGAAAAGCATGACGCTAGAGATTAGTCTTGTGTCCGCGTGTTCTGCGGTTTTTTGTCTGGTAGACGGCGCGACCACCCCGGGCACACGCGCCGCGTCCGTGCTGCGTTCCCGCTTTGTGGGAGAGCCAGGTATCATGCGGGCACATCATTTTCACGTGCTTTCAACACCGTGGGGCGACAGAATCCATGTCCCCGCGTCGCCTCTCTGAAACCCCTGCTCTCCGTGTCCCGACATCGCTGTGTGCTGGTGTTGCCGCCGCCGTCGATGACCGCGAAAAAAAAAAAAAAAACGTCACGGACAGGGGGCGCAACACGCACGGCCAGCTCGGTACCGGCGACAGCGATGACCGCCTGGACGGGAATGGCCTTGCGCTTGTAGCGGTGGATCTCGACGGTTCAGTAGCCACCGCCATCGCCGCCGGCGAGTCGCACACTTGCGCGCTCCTTGACGACGACTCCATCAAGTGCTGGTAAGGACACGACCAACTGAATAAAAACTAACTTGCCGTCGGGGGCAGTGGGGGGGGGGGGGGGGGCAGGGGCAACGATTAGTTTTGGGGTCTCGATGAGTGGCATGTTTCAAGACTTGTGGGACACGTGTAGTGATGCAGTTGGGGTTGCTCTTGGCTGACGGGATTCCTCATCACAGAGGTTTCCTGCTCTCCTCGTGTTCTCTCTTGGCCTCTCACTGGCTGCCTGCCTCTCGCCGCTCCCCGCTGCCCATATCCGCCACTTCTCATTGCCGCAGGGGGCCTAACAACAGCTCTCCCACTTTGCTCTCGCTGCTCCCCGCTGCCAAATGCACGTTGCCGCAGGGGCCTTAACAGCAGCGGCCAGCTGGGTCAGGGCGACGACCTCGACAGGGGAGACTCCCCGGAGACCCTCGGTGCCAACCTCCCCGCCATCGCCCTGGGGACCGGCGACGTGCCCACGGCCATCGACTGCGGCTCCTTCTACACTTGCGCTCTCCTGGACGATGGGTCCGCCAAGTGGTGAGTGACAGAAACGCGGGGGTGCTGACGGCGAGGACTGAGGCAGGAGTGAGAAAACACTGGTGTGGTGGCGGCCGCAAGTTCCTTCTGCTGCACATGCCGAGTGTGCTTATTGCCGCCCACTTGGTGGAGTTAGAGAGAGAGACCTTCCGCTCTTTTAATACTAAAAGGTTGACGTGCCATGTATTTTTTGTCCGCACGTGCTCGTTTTGCCCCTCCTTCTCCTCGGCCTAACCGTACCCTTGTTTTTTTTGCGTCCTTTATCTTTCTTGATTTTTTTTCTCTGCGCCGCCCCCGCCCCCCCTCCGACGCCTCTTCTTCTGCAGCTTCGGCGCGAACGCGGACGGTGAGCTCGGCACCGGCACCACCCAAGACGTCGGCCTGCTCCCGACGGAAATGGGCGATAACCTGATTGCTGCTGCTATCGGTGACACCGCTCAGGACATCGCCGCCGGCGGCGCCACCACCTGCGCCATCGTCTCTGACGATTCGGTCATTTGCTGGTGAGGAAATGAGGCCCAGTTTTGACTTGGCAACGGTGTTGTTCGGAACATTTTGCGTGAGTGGTGGGGTTGTCATGTACTGCCTTCTTTGGTGACCGATCGGCTATGTATGCTTTTGCTTCTTGACCACAATGTGTTGCCTTGTTCGTCGGGCAATCATAGCGTAGTTGGATGCAAGTCACAACCCCAATCGGTCAACGTAGCTCCGTCTTGACACGGCCGTACATCCTTGTCCGCGTGCCTTCGGTGCCGTAACGCGTGGTGTGTTTTGTTTCCGTACCGCAACGCTCGGTTTCCGTTCGCGTACCGCCCTATCGCTTGCTTTCCGTGCCGCTCAATGCTTGCGACATGTAGGGGCCAGGGAAGCTCTGGCCAACTCGGGCAGGGCACCGACGAGAACATCATCGTGATTGAAGACGTGGAGACGATCGACGTCGGTTCGGACACCTTCGCCTCTTCCCCGGGCCCCACTCCCTCCATCCCGGTACGATATGTAACGCCGCTATCTTCTCCCCCCCCCCCCGACATTCTCCCGCCCCATGCCTTAGTTTGTTGGAGATAAAGTATGTCCTCCCCTACCTGCTTTTTATTTTTATTGAAGAGGTATTCTCTCTCTCTCTCTCTCTCTCTCTCTCTCTCTCTCTCTCTCCCCCCCGCCCCCCCTCCTGACCCTTGTTGACGTTGCAGTCCGTTGCGCCGTCTGCTGCCCCGAGTGCGGCGGCCTTTACTTCGGTTTCGCCTTCGTCTGCCCCGACTGCCGCTTCCCGGCAGGCGAGAAAAAGAAGAAAGGCTCTTGTTTGTATGTAGAGTTGCAACAAAGACAGAGAGAGAGAGAGATGATGTTTCTTGTGGACTCATGCGTGCGTGTTGCTTTCCGGCGGTGTCGCCCGCCATAAAATCACGGTAGGCGTGGTTCGAAAACGTCATCATGCGACGTGTTATTCCAGTGAGTAAATTACAAACACTCCGCAGATGCATGAACATACCTGTCCAGGCAGAGGTGAAAACGACGCCTGGCCTTTCATCTTCCTTTGACGTTTGTTGGTGACGAGGCCTGTCTCCTCTCTCTTTTGTTCGGTGCCCCCACACCCCGTACGTACTCTACGCGTCTTTTTTTTTTTTTTGTTGCAGTCCGTTGCACCATCATCCGCTCCGACTGCTGCGGTAGTTGCATCGTCTTCTCCGACTGCCTCCCCCGTAGTCGCGTCTGACGCTCCTACCATCGCCCCGTCGGCCACGCTCTTTGAGTCTGTCGGTCCTACCGCCGGCCCTAGTGCCGCTTCACGGCAGGCAAGAGAGACCACAAAACAGTTGTTCAATAACACCGCCGTGTTGCCTGTACAATGGTAGACGTATCGGTGTAGAGGGCCCTGTTTTAGTGCCGGTGCCCGGTATAGTGCCGATTTATTCGACTTGCACGGACTGAAATCACCAAGTAATTCTGTACTTGGACTTTTTATTTTTATTTTTTAGTGCCGGTCAAAATTCTCGGGGCACATCACATATGTACCGGCGCCAAACATGGCCTCACCCACTGGTGAACATACATACCCATGTGCACCGTGGCATTCGCGTTTCCAAGCGCGTACAAGGAAGAAAACAGTGCCAGCTTTCCGCAAACGTTGAAACAAGCCGGTCCCTCGCAGCTGTTGTTTGTGTACATGCAGGTGCTGCCGCACTTGTTGTGCCCCCCCCTCCAACGTGTTGCATCTCCCTGAGCCCCTCCCCCCCCCCCCCCCCC